TAGATCAATAGCGCGTTATATTACAATTCAAAAACAAAAAAAAACAAAAAAACAAAAAAAAAAAGATGCGATCTTTATCAATAAGCAACAGATAAAATCCCCAGAAACGAAAAAAGAAAAAAAACGAGGAATAAAAATAGGAAAGCCGACCTGGGCCTTATTGAAGAAGACGGAGCTGACGAGGCTGACGAATTGGGAAGGAGCGGCGGACATTGAGTTTTCTGACCGCAGCTTGCTTCGACGGAGCTGACGAGGCCGAGATCGCGGGGGAGCTGAAGGTTCGACGTCGGAAGGATTTTGGGTTTTCCGACCGCAGCTTGCTTCGACGGAGCTGACGAGGCCGAGATCGCAGGGGAGCTGAAGGTTCGACGTCGGACGAATTTGGGGGGTTTTTTTGGGAACGATTTGAGGGATTTGGGGATTTTTGTTAGGGAAGCACACGATTTGGGGAGAAATATCAGGAGAGTGAGCCTCTGCGGGTTTGAAGGCTATGCCCAATCCTAGTAGTTTTCTTAGAGGCCAAGTTAACTTGGCGAGCAAGTTAGGATTGTGTCTTTGATTATTTGTATAACTTTATGAGAATTAGATAGAGTTAGGGATCTATCATTATTAGGAGATTGAGTATCATCATGATTAGGAGTTTGAATCCTATTCTAATTAGGAAGTTAGGCTAGAGATAGGATTTTGGTTTCCCTATATATATTCTTCTATTGTTGGAGGAAAACGAAGGAGAGTAGAGAGAAGGAGAGAGACAATATTCTTGTAATCAGGGTTTTAAAGGGTGTAACCGGGTTCAAGAGTATTGTGAGAGAGAGGGTTTCACAGTCTTCGTCTGTGCAAAAGATTGTAATTTAGAGGTGATAGTGGATTAATTTTGATCCCGTGGATTTTTTTTGTTGAGGGTTTTCCACGTTAAATCTCGTGTGATTCTATTTGCTGCGTTTGGTGATTTTCAAGGTTTTTATGAGATCTAAAAATCCCAACAAGTGGTATCAAAGCGGGGTTCGACGGTTCGTGGAGGTTTGACGGGTGTGCAATTGGTGAAGACGTCAGTGGTCGAAGCGCGGTGAGCGGCATCGGGGGAAACAAAAAAAGGGTACTATAGCAGGGAATACTGTAGCGGCGATGTGAACACTGTTCACATGGGTGAGGGTTTGCTTACAAACTTTTAAATCAAATCCGACGGTGCAGATTGATTTGTCTTTTGATCGAGGATTTAATGGCGGATTTTGGTGATTCAGGAGTCGTTTCTAGGATTTTTCGACATGCTGAGTTCATTTTTAATATCGGTTTTATCAAATTCAATCTCTATTGTGACTGATTTGAAATTTTCTTGTGGTTAGAGGATGATGACTTCTTCGGGTCTGAAGTTTGATATTCTACTATTCAATGACAATACAAATTTTATAGTATGGCAGTGCACGGTTCAAGATATTATTGTGCAGCAAGGTGTTGATCAAGCTTTGAAGGAGAAAAAACATAAATGATTGAAGGATACTGAATGGAGTTCCATACAAAAGAGGGCGGTTAGCACAATTCGTTTGGCACTCGCCCCCGAGATCAAGTACAATGTTATGCAAGAGACCACTCCAAAGGGGCTGTGGGAAAGGCTCGAGGGGTTTATGCGTCAAAGTCGATGACCAACCGATTGCATTTGAGGATGAAGCTTTATTCCTTGAAGATTGAAGAAGGTACTACAATTCAAGACCACATTAATGCCTTTAATCAGCTAGTTTACCAACTTATGAATATTGATGAGGAGATTAAAGAAGAAGAGCAGGTGCTAGTCCTATTATCTTCCTTGCCGAAGTCGTACAAGTTGTTAGTTCAAACGATAATTGCAGGGAAGCAGACTTTAAAGTTCGACGATGTGATATCACTCGTACGTGAGAATGAATGAATGATGGAAAAGGAGAGTGTATATAATGGTGGTGAGAATGCACTAGCTTTTAAAGGTTCTAATCGAGGGAGGAATAAGGGAAGATATGAAAATTATCGAGGAAGGTCAAAATCTCAGGCCCGAGACGACAACGAAAGGGAGTGCTATTATTATGGAGAGAAAGGCTCACATTCAGTTTAGATGTTCCCAGATGCGAGATGATTTGAAGAGTATTAGACAGATGAAGCTTCAAGAAAATGGGAAGAAGGCGGACTCCTTGGTTGTTGTGTGTGATGAAGATGTGGTGCTGTTGATGCAGTACAGGTACTGATACGAGTAACACTTGGGTGTTAGATTCTGCAGTCTCTATGCATGTTTGTAACAATAAAAATTATTTTGACACATTGAAAACAAATAAAGAATTTGACAACGTGATTGTTAGAAACAACGAGAAGATGAAGGTTGAAGGTGTTGGAAGAATAGCAACCATATTTGCTATTTAGATGGACAATCTGTTAATGGTGTAGATGACTCTTCTCAGGCTCTTGTCCACAAGGGAAAGGTGAAGAACAAGAAGAAGAGAGTGAGTTTTTCTGAAGCTGTTGAGATACTTGGAGATTTTTCGTCTAGGGAGGATATGTAGGGTATCAACTCAAACTTCAAGTCGGATGCAAGTTTGAAGGATGTGCCCAATCCTAGTAGTTTTCTTAGAGACCAAGTTAACTTTGCGGGTAAGTTAGGATTGTGTTTTTGATTGTTTGTATAACTTTATGAGAATTAGATAGGATTAGAGATCTATCATGATTAGGAGATTGAGTCTCATCATGATTAGGAATTTGAATCCTATTCTAATTTGGAAGTTAGGCTAGAGATAGGATTTTGGTTTCCCTATATATATTCTTCTATTGTCGGAGGAAAAACGAAGGAGAGTAGAGAGAAGGAGAGAGACAATATTCTTATAATCAGGGTTTTAGAAGGTGTAACCGGGTTTAAGGGTTATTATGAGAGAGAGGGTTTGACAGTCTTTGTCCGTGCAAAAGATTGTAATTTGGAGGTGATAGTGGATTAGTTTTGATCCCGTGGATTTTTCTTGTTGATGGTTTTCCACGTTAAATCTCGTGTGATTCTATTTGGTGGTTTTGGGGGTTTTTGTGAGATCTAAAAATCCCAACCGTGTGTGTTTTATAATTGTGGAAGAAGAATATGATATTACTACATCAATGAAACCCGGCTCTCTTTCTAAAAAAACGTAAGAAAGTATGGTACAACTAATTTCAAAATTTCTTTTAATAATAAAAATGCTTTTGATAAAAACTAGATTTTTTCCAGAAATTAATTTGAGAATGTAGTCTATATTTGAATGTTGGACTTTTCATGTTTCAATACCGTTTGTTAATATTGAGTCCGTCAGGGTGACGACTCAAAATGATCGATCAATAAAATTGGGCCAAAATATATTAGCCTAGTTTATCTCTTCAGTCCACAAAACCGAAGTCATGACCAAGGTAATGCTCATCTCCTCTTCAGTTCACAAAACAAATGATGGAAACCACATCACACTTTTTTGTAATCCAAAACTCTGTCATCTTAATTAACAAGAAAAACTATCTCGTCACAAAAACAAAAGGATCATATAAAGGGTCATTGCGAAATCGTATAACAACGAAGAAGAAAGTCACATGTGAAGTTGATAGTCACATCTATTCCTATAGTATTTGACCGAAACATTATTTTATTCATAGTGATATATTAACAGCTCGCACTGATATTACTTACTGATTGAAAATCAGAATGTTAGGGGCTGTTTGGTTGGTTTCTTTTGCCCCTAATTCCCTGTCAAAACTGTCAAAACGCCCTTTTTAAAGGCGTTTTGGCAAGAAAGCTGTCAAAACTGACAGCAAGCTGTTAGTTTTGGCAGGGAATCAGGGGCAAAAGAAGCAAAACAAATAGCCTCTAAGCCTTAAATAGAGCCTACGGACTTTTTTCTATTTAAATCCCATCCTTACTTTTCCTCAACAATGTGAGACTGAGGGGGTGTTTGGTTCAATTTCTAGAAATTATAGGAAATGTTTTCCATCTAAAATATGATTTCCTTGTATTTCTTAAAAAAATTATATGAAAAGTTTTAAGAAATAAAAAAGTACCAATTTTCTTGTTTTTTGTAATTTGCTTGTTTGGTTCAAAACAAGAAAATAGCTCATAACTTTATAGAAAATAACAAGAATTGGTAGGTTTTTAATTAAATATGGTATGTGTCAGATTTCTGGTGATTTCCTCTCATTTTGAGAGGAAATTGCTTTTTGTAAAATTTGGTAGGTTTTGATATTTTATAGAAAATATTTCTGTAAATTTTTTGTTGAACCAAACACAATTTACAGAAATCTCTGGAAAACTTTTAATTACAAATTTACCATTGTCAGATGTTTTAAGAAAAGTTTTCTCAAAAAGTGTGCAACCAAACAGCCCCTTATACACCCACATGAGAAATCACAACATGAGCTTCCCCACTTGTTGCTTTCTTGTAATTTACTGCTTGCATGATACAATTCCTTACCAATCAATTAGACTCCATTTGTTTCGTAGTTTCAGATGCCTAATATCCCATAGCCGTCGAATCATTGGATAAGATTATAAGATTGTGGAAAATATTTTCCTAGAATCAGGCGGCGCCGAAATAATTGATTGGTCCTTCACTATTATACATGTTGTCAGTATCGATCAGCACGCGTTAAGCTTGTGGAGAGACTTCAACCACGGACGTACTCAATAAAACCCGTGAATACAAAGGCTACCGGAATACCACTAGAAGATGCTAAATTGAAAAGGTCAGGTGCTAAGTTTTGTTTTTTAACTAAATAAAGAAAAAAGAGAGAATGAGAAGGAAAGATATTGTAGCTATAATACCACAATTTGACGAAATTAAAATGTTGACGGAAGCATCTTCAGCAATAAATATACCCGTTGTTGGAACCGAATGGATGAAATTCATCAACCACGTCTCTGTAAGGTAGTGTCAAATTTCTCTTTTCGACATCTTGGAGCAACTCGAGAGAGGCATTCAACGAAATTGAAGAATGCGTACAGTTACGGCATCGATACGTTCACAACCACATATGTTCAATTTTCCAGCCCTCAAATGAGAATATAAACATAAATTTCCCTTTCCCTTACAGTTCCAGCTCTAGTTCCACAATTTTAGTACATTAAAAACCCATAACCCCATGAGTTAATCAAACAAACGTGCATCAGTACCGTGCAACACTCAAACTATGAAGATCATAAAGATTACATGGAAAACCCAAATGCCATAAACATACAACAGAAGATACAATGTGAAAGCATTTTACTCTTCCTGGCAGAAGGATCGACTAATTACAACATAAACCAACGGGGGAGCTCATCGAGTCAAATGCTTGCGAAAAAACAAAAACTCAAATGTCATGAGCCAAGCATCACTCACTGCCCTTGTTTAGAGAGCCATCTTTCATCAGTCTTATGCTTAGACTATTAAATCTCCCTCTTGAATAATGCCGAGAAGCCTTTCTCCAATCTGTACCGGTTTTCATCATCGCTACAAATTCTTCGTAGCTAATTTTTCCATCCTGCAGTTGCAAAGGATCAAAGAGCTTGACATGTTAATGAAGGAAGTTATTCTGTGGAGATCAGATAGGAGCATTTTCCCGGAAATTTCTATATAAAGAACATATAGGGAGGCTGGGGCCGAAGGAATCTAGTCCAACACAAATCTTGATCCACATATCAACATCAGCTATTAGTGTAATCAAACTATCTGTTGGTAGTGATAGTTAATAGTGATGTGTGCATCAAATTTCGTGCTAGGCCACATGTTTTCATGCCCTACCTATCTCCCTATATGATTTTCTATAGAAGGCACTCTATAGGATTGTCCGTCCCTTTTACCTTATCCATGTCGACTTCTTGTAGGATATCATTTGCCACATCTTTGCTATCAGCAGCCCCATCTTCTGCCAATGCCTCCTGAAGCTCCTCTGCCTCGATGTAGCCATTACCATCTTTGTCAAAGTATGAGAAGGCCTTTCGAAGATGCTCATCATTTGCCATCCTTTGCAAGTGCAGAGACACAGCAACAAATTCTCCATAATCTAGCGTTCCTTTTCCATTGGTGTCCACCTGTTATGTATATATTTTTTAATTTATAGAAAAATGTATTGTCAGATTCACATCTTCTGTCGAAAGAGAAAATTTTAAGATAATGCTTAATAATTTTGAAACGTACACAATTTCCTATGAAAACATTTCACTCCCAATAGGAAACAGTGTCAATTTAAATTCAACAAGGCATTTAAGAAAATGCACAAGGATCTCAGGAGGCCTTCTTGCATTAGATCCAACAGTTGTGATTAGTAAATTTTGATAGTTGATAATTCTTCAAGGAAACACCACTCGTGAAAAGAGATATGGTGTATGCTACTTTCAAGCAATGAATGGTTTTGTTTTGAGAAGCAAACCAGCTCGTTGAACATGTTTTTCCGCAAGGAGTTCAAAGCAAGGGAGTCAATGTTTCTCATCACACAATGAGGAATACTTCACATTAGAACGGAGTTGGTACTATGGAAAGATCTCTTGGACAGAGCTTGGTTCATAATCTCAAATTCATTGACAAAAGATAGTAAGTTGAAACTATTATACAGCTTGATGTTTGATTAAAAAAACTATAGAGAATAGGTTTTAAAGGCTTTTGAAGTAGTATTATCAGGTACTTGAGGTGTAAGACTATATATGCTTGTATTGCTCATTGGAATGACTGCAAAAAAAATCATAGACATAGTTAAAGGGAGGTTCAAGATATTCTGGAGTCAAGATTGCAAGCAAGGTGAAAAGAACATAACACTTGAGAATAAAAGTTGCCAGACATGTAATATCTTATGAATCTTTCCCTTTTGAGTGCAAAAAATGACAATAATTGAGAAGACTGCACCACATTCAAGCATTGCCAAAACTTTTGTACCTGTGAAAAATGGTTACCAGTGAACTCGGTTTTACCATTTTGTAATCACTCAAGCACAATAAGATACTTGAAACCCCTGTGTAATATGATTAGAATAATTCTCATGTTACAGAGAAAATATGATATCATTGGATTTGAAAAGATAAAAAGTCTTGGAAAGATATCCAGAATGGATCTGAGTGGTATAAGGCATAGGAAAAGTGTCATATTACCATTAAAAAATCATGGATTTAAGTCACTATTAAGATGCGGATTCAAGATACTCAAGCAATATATGTATAGACAAGATACTTACAGCTTCGATGAGCATCTGCACTTCAGACTCCGCAAGCTGCGAACCATGCTTTGCAAGTCCAGCTTTAAGTTCATCGCAGGATACAATGCCATCATTATCCGTGTCAATCTTCTTGAACATTTCTTTTATGTCTTCAACTTCCTCAACAGATAAATGATCAGCAATCACCTATTAGCAAAACCACTAACCAGTTAATAAAACAGTAGAAATAAGTGCTTTAATATACAAGGACCCAAAGATTTTAATGTTAACCAACCCTAAGAGCTCTCCTTTTGAACCTATTCATCACTGAAAACTGCTTAAGCCTCGACTTAACGACATCTCCAAGGGGAACATTCGGAGCCTTTTTAGCATTTTGAAGCCAAGGATGCTCTGGCATGGAAAATGAAGATTATCAGAAAATATGGTCATGTGGAAAAAGTAAAAAGTATGCCATGGTGAATAAGCACTTATTCTGAAACTCATAAAAAAGGTTTACTAGTGAAAAGCTAAGAATTGATATTAATAATTCTAAAACTCCTCGTGTCAAGCAAGATTCAGAAAAGGAGAATCAAGAATTGCATCTAATAGATGGCAACGCAAAATTTATACAAAAGACTGACCTTTTCGAAAGGTCAATTTCTCTGCTCAGTTTACTTTCTTTATTGTGCCACTAGGCTAGTCCAAATTGAATTAGTCAATGCACTAAGTAATCTCCTTGCCTGCCCACCTCAAGGAACATTCTAATCAATAGACTGACTATTCTTTTAAGTTTTTGAGGAGGCCTTTAACCTGTGGCCTCAATTGTCAGCACAATATTCTAAATGTATTCCCTCTATACATCATTTTACAACATGCTAATTAAGCCACTTGGAAATCTGAACATGATTTCTTATTTATTTTGAAATAAGAATCCAAAATGGAATGCCTCATTCTCAAATAAATAAGTATTTGGTGCATTGCTAAGCTGCATGGGTATGGGTACAGGTACGGGTATAGGACACGGTAAATTTGTAAAAGGTAGGGTACGGGGACACGACTATAAATATGTAGTTTATGTATATCTATATGTATTAAAATTAATAATTTCTGGAAGATTATTATTGTTTTTTCATTTACATAAGATCAATATATTAGAAATAGATGTGGAGTGTAGAATATACATCCAAGAGTATGAGTGTTTTCAATTAAAACAGTGGTAAATTATTGAGTATACACTTGAACAAATCTTGTGTGTATTTTCAAGAAGTGTCCATGATGTTTGGGTGCATGTATGGGTATGTGTCAGGTACAGGAACGGCTTCCAAGTAGAATTACCCAGGTAACATAGGTAAATCATCGTAAGTTGCTTCTCTGGAATTCATATCACCTAATAAAATAGTCCTGATTTTGACTTGATTGCACAGTCCCATACGACCCATAGAAAACTAGATAAATTTCATATGTAACATAGATAAAAGCATAATAAGAACCATTTTTTACACGCAGAATTAAATAAGCATAATTTTTTAGCATACTCCACTTATGTGTTTGTGTGTGTGAAATGTGTGTGTGTGTGTACATGCACACATATAGATACACACACACATATGTGTATACATATATTGATATATCTACATACACACGCGCGCGCCTGTATACACATATAGAGAGAGAGTGTGTGTATACAGACATATATATGTACATATACATATATACTATGTGTGTGTATCAATATATGCATACACATACATATATTGTTATGTGTGCACACGCGCACATGCGCACGCAACCACACCCCACACACACAGATATAGATACATACACATATAGATACACACACACATATGTGTATACATATATTGATATATCTACATACACACGCGCGCGCCTGTATACACATATAGAGAGAGAGTGTGTGTATACAGACATATATATGTACATATACATATATACTATGTGTGTGTATCAATATATGCATACACATACATATATTGTTATGTGTGCACACGCGCACATGCGCACGCAACCACACCCCACACACACAGATATAGATACATACACATATAGATACACACACACATATGTGTATACATATATTGATATATCTACATACACACGCGCGCGCCTGTATACACATATAGAGAGAGAGTGTGTGTATACAGACATATATATGTACATATACATATATACTATGTGTGTGTATCAATATATGCATACACATACATATATTGTTATGTGTGCACACGCGCACGCAACCACACCCCACACACACAGATAAACACACACACACACATATATACATATAGGTATACATATACATATTCATATTCATATACATATACATATGGTAGGTCAAAGATTGGAACTTCGCTAATCAATTACGAATATCAGCAGTAATGAATCGTAGTGTGAAGAAGCATAGATAGGTATACATATACATATACATATCCATATACATATACATATGGTAGGTCAAAGATTGGAACTTCGCTAATCAATTACGAATATCAGCAGTAATGAATCGTATTGTGAAGAGATCAACTATGCTTCTTGTTATTAACAGGCCAAATTGGCCAATCGAGAAGTCATGCCAAAAAAGTGGCATGGTGTGTGCTTCATGTTTTAACGAAACCAGACGGCCGCGAACTGAAATATGAAGTCTTCATAATTTAAAAAGAATCATTCATGGTGCTGATAATTTTTAACGCAAGCATACCTTTCTACCTTTCTATGCTCTAAATTGGAATCAAACGAAGGATTGACTCTCGGCTTTAACGCAAGCATACCTTTGGTAGCAGGAGTTTCAAAGTTTTAGCAATTTCCCATCTGAATATTATTGATACTTGAAATAAATCCACAATGTCAACAGATATGAGAGGGTATTAGCAAATATGAGCAGTATTAGTCAGAAAAACTTTGTATGCTTATGAAAATTTGGCTAATACATCAATATCAATCTTTACTTCAATCCTTGCTTCAAATGCTCTCTCCACAAGCTGTTTAGAATGTTCAAACGCAAAACCTTACTTCAAATCTTTTTCTCAACAAAATTATTTAAAATATTTCAATAACTTCCCTCCCTCTCTGTTTGGAGATAGATTTATGAACTTTTGGTGATCCACCACTGAACTTGGAATATCGATTTTCAAATGTCTTCAAGTTAATGACAATTTTCAATAAACTTGTAATGCTAAGAGTCTAAGACACTATCAGCAAAAAAAAAAGGTCCTTCCATGGAACTCTAGATGGCAATTAACAGGCAAAGAAACATAGAATATCTATTACAATGTTTAGATCCTAGGGAACAGGAGAGCAACACCACCAGGTTCTCCTAAAATTGGAATGATCAAAAGAAGAGAGCCAAAGACAAGATTAAATACTCTTTAAGAGAGAAAAAAATTGTTCAAAGAAGTTAAGCACTTGGAAAAGCAACTATAAGCACTAACCATTAACAAAATAAATATAACTGTTGCATATTCAGAATCAAAAAGATCTGCACAAAAATAGTAGATAGCATTAATATTAAAAAAAACTAGTTGAAGAAGTACCCAGAACTTGTTTTGCAGTTGGTCTAAGCTTTGGATCAGGCTCCAGCATCTGCCGAACCAAATTCTTGGCACTTTCAGAAACACTCGGCCATGGTTCACGTTTAAAATCAATAATTCCTCGAAGAATAGCTTGTGCAACACCCTGTTCAGATTCTGTAATTTAGAGATATAACGTAGTTCAGAGTATTAGTTATTTTGGGTACAGAAACTTTAAAATAGATTAGTGCAGCAACATAATACTTATTTTTAAAAAATGAGAATAAAGCAATAACATTAGATAGGCAAGTCAAGAATTTTACCTGCCCAAAATGGGGGAACTCCACACAAAAGAATATAGAGAATGACTCCCGCACTCCATATATCTATTTCTGGTCCATAATTACGTTTGAGTACCTCTGGGGCCATGTAGTATGGACTTCCAACAATTTCAGAGAACTTTTCACCTGGTGAGACAAAACACAACAAAGATTCATATCCAATATATACAAGGAAAGGGTACCCTCATGATATTAAAGAGACCTTCTTCATACAGTATTCTCTTTTGCAATATGTTGACCGCACATAAACACACAAATGACATGCATGAGAAAATATCAAAGATAAGCTTTTGATTCAGATTATAACATAAAGTTGAAAGCCATTGCCTAAGCAATTTTACCATCATCTTCTTTCCAAGTCAGAAAGTTTTCGGTGCTCTCTTTGGCTTAGGAAAGTACATGATCAATATGTTCGAGTTTCTACCTGCATCTGGTTGCCTAGGATTTACAGAAAGCCAAATTCTGTAATATTTTCTTTGCCAGATATTTGCCACCAAGTTTAAGGGCTGATAATTGGTTCCTTAACAGCCAAAATGTTTTTTCAAATCTTTCTTGAAGTAACACCCATCACAGACCCAGTTATAATGGAAGGGACTTAGATGATGATGATAATGTATCGATTTGACTAATCGACATTAATGTCGATAAATTTTTAATGCATGACCGTGGACTGACTATGCTGCCTGTGGTGGCTGAAAGAGAGGCATACATAGCAGTTCTGTTCACCAAGGGTTTGAGGTTGTAATATCCTAAAATCCTGTAACTATGCAACCTGATTGGACTTATCCTGAAACCAGCAACCCAGTTAACTGCAAAACTAAGTATCAGGAAATACGGTAAGGTTCCTCACTAAAATTTCTGATACAGGTTAAGATTTGGATATTGCTAAGCCAACCTGAATGCAACTTTAACCGTATAAAAGCCTAGATAGTAAATAGTCTACATATGTCTACACATACACGAGAAAATTCCACAGTAAGAATTTTTATGACAAGTTCATAATAGACCATCTTATGTATTATCTGCATAATTTAATTTATTTAACAGACCCAAATTAATCCGAAAATGAGAGCTCAAATTGTAGGAACTTCGTGTATGCATCTCTAATGCAAACTCACTGCTTCGTCAACCCAATCGAAACAATTTTATAATCTATATTCAACAAAGTTGGCTTAGGAAAGTTGCAAGCAGATTCAAGGGATTCGGTCTGAGAGATCATGCGTTGAGCCAAGTACGGTCGCTAACATGCCGAAGTTGGAGAACTTCAGATAACAAATGTAAAAAATATTAGGTTTTTTAAAGATATTTATCCCTCGAATCTTCAATAATTTCATATTAGTCCCTCAAATCTTTGGAATTGCTTACCACTGCTTCAAATCCCACATGGTCTTGCGAATCGGTTCTCCTCTGGTTAAATCACGTTAAATTTCCCCATACCTAATGGAATTGCTTACCACTGCTTCAAACCCCACATGGTCCTGCGAATCGGTTCTCCTCTGGTTAAATCACGTTAAATTTTCCTCATACCTAGCGGTTTAAGGGGAGTTCTCATTTTACCCCTATGTTAAATTTTTCAACACGTTTCTTAACAAGCTTGCACCAAATGTAGCTGAAAACAACCAAATTCCACTGAGATCATCTTCCGCAATAGCCGGAAAAGCACCCTAACCCATTCCGGATCTCCACAACGGTCATATTGTGAACGTGGGGCCACGTGAGGAGATAGGGCAGTGGGGAAAGCTTTGATTTCCTGGACGCGTGGGGGCCACACCCATGTGAGGAAATCAGAGCAGCGGGAGAAAACCGCGTGAGGAGAAGATTTCTCCACGTGAGTTTTTGTAGGCGCACCCGATATCAATTTGCAGTTATATATAGCTGGTAAACGGCAGACCTAGGGTTCTGTGCAAGTGCAGAAGGGGGAGAACGAAAATCTTGGGCGGCGTGCAAGGCTTCGTGTAGAGGGTTGTGTGCAAGCGTACCGCAGAGAGAAAAAGCCTTTGCCGGCTGACCTTTTTGAGTAGAAAAACAGTAAGCCAATTTGAGGGTTTAATTTGTTAGAGTTATGTGATTGTAAACTCTATTTGTATTTTTTTCTCTCTAATAGTAGATCCTCCCCTCCTTGCCCTGTGGACGTAGGTAATTTGTCGAACCACGTTAAAATTGATTGTTCGTGTTGTGATTTGTAATAGAGAGTTTAGGTTCCCTCGACAAGTCAGTCCTAGAACTGATGAGAGGAATAGCTGATATCTCACTTTGTTGAGATATTTTGCTTTCGGTTCTTGTTTTCTTTGTGAAACAGGGATTTAGTTGAGATCTACTCTCTTGTCGAGCACCAGATGTGCTGCCGAAATTTTCGTTGCGCACAATAAGTAGTATCAGAGTCCGGGCTACGTTTGGGCAATTTGAAAGAGTAGATCGCTTTGGAAGCTCAACTAGGGTTTCAATTGGAGTTAAAGGTGAGATCTTTTTTGGTAAAGACTCTATCTTTCTCAAGTTTGGATCTATTCTTCAGTTTGTTCCGCATTGGTTGTTGGTGTGTTGAGGAATATGACCGGAAAAGGTGTTGAGGCTGGTGCTTCTGGTATGAAGACCATTCAAAGTTTGAATATCCACTCTACGAAAATAGATGTGAAGAAATTTAATGGCACGAACAACTTGGACTTTGACAATGCAAAGTTTAGGATGCGCTAAATGCGCAAAATTTGAAAGACACTTTGGAGTTGGATGGCAAGTCAAATGATATTGAAGAGAATGTTTGGAGAAGATGAATCAGACGACGTGTGGTGTTATTAGACCTTGTTTAACACAAGATTTGAAGTATGATGTGATGAATGAGACTTCTGTAAAGAAGGAAGACCCTTGAGAACAAGTATTTGACCATGAGTGTGAAAAATCGCTTGCATTTGATGAGGAGGCTTTGTCGCTTCCAATTGAAGAAGAGAACCTCCGTTAGTGATCACATGAACCACTACACGAAGCTTCTTACGGATTTGACGAATGTGGATGTTATGATTGAAGATGAGGACAAGACGTTGCTGTTGTTGAGTTCCTTGCCTGATGAGGAATACAAGACCTTTGTTCTTACCCCAATTAATGGGAAGACGTCCCTTTCGTATAGTGAGGTCACCGCTACACTTGTGAACTATCAGTTTCGAAAAAAAGATAATGAGGCTTCAGTTGAGCCGGTAGCGGAGACATTGATCGCAAGAGGGAAGAATCCAAACCAAAAAAATTAGAAGTCACAGTCTAGAATAAGGCATCCTACAGTTAAAAAAGATAAGTGTGGTGCAAGGAGACTGATCATTGGAAGAAAGATTATCCAAAGTTTGACGAATGGAGTGGATGTTAGATAGTGATGCGACCTATCATGTGTGTCCTAGAAGGAAATGGTTCTCTAGTTTTGAGAAACTAAAGAGTGATGTGGTGTACATGGAAGATAACCGTGCATGTCAAATCATTGGGATAGGAAGAATTTGTATTAAGATGTTTGACGGGACTATTAGAGAGTTATATAATGTGAGATATATTCCTTCCTTGAGGAAAAACTTGATCTCAATTGGAGTTTTGGTTGGAAAAGGTCTGAAGGTTCGTGTTGAGGACATGGTTCTCGAGATTGTAGAAAACTCTTTGATTGTGATGAAGGACGTCAGGAGGAATAACATGTACTATTTGATTAGAGATACAGTGACAGGTAGAAAGCTAGCGACTTCTGTTGATTCGACTAGACTGCGATATTTAGGGCTTTATCATTCCAGTATTGATTTGGAGATTCATGCAACGACCTGCAATTTGAAATCCAGTGAACATTTTGATGTGAGCAAGAAGATCGAGGTAAAGTTTGGCACCTCTGTTCACCGCATGGAGGGTCTTTCGGATGGGGTTCACGTGAATGTTTGGGGGCCTTCCAAGGAGACATCATTGGGAGGAAATAGATGTTTAGTTTACTTAGTTGGTGGTTGTTCTAGACGTATTTGGGTTGCAACCAAATCCTCTTTGGATAAAATCCTAGTAGTCTCCAACAGATTGAAGAAGTATGTAAGAAACAGAAGGGTGAAAGTACTTCATTCTAATTTTAGTGAGGGTACAAGATGGACTTATTTCTGTATTGGAGCCGAGTTCACGGTATTTTGAGACACTTCGTTGGAAAGAAAATCTTGGGACAACTAGATAGGGTGGCAAATTTGAAGAACCGTGCGGCCGTGCCTAGTTGGAGGAGGATCGGTGTTTGTTGTCAAGCAATGGTCTGCAGAAGAGTTTTTGGACTGAGGCTTCGATATATTTGGGTCATCCTATTAAAGAGTTGTCAACTGCTGTGATTGGAAGTAAAACTCAAGTGGATATTTGGTCTGATAATGTCACATTGGATGAGGTTTCGATGAGGGAGCCTATTGACTCTCAGCATGTTGAGAGTTTTGGATAGATCATAGAGGTATCACACAGCAAGTGGAGAGTGATGCTACTTCACATTGAGTGAAGATTACTCCACATACTCCAGATCATTCTGTATTGTTTGGGATTCCAGCTGAAGTGACACAGTTTAAGGGAACAATTGATTTTGGATACAGATGATGAGTTGGGTTTTGATTCAAGTGTAGCTGATAGGTGTAGTTTGGATATGGCTATTGGTTCATCTCAGGTGGAGGTGTTTGATTCGTTATACTTTGAAACCATTGGAGGTGCTATCAGTCGCAAGATTAATGATATTGGAAGAGGATTGAGAACTCTTCTATTGGATTGAGGGTTTTTGGAGGCCATTTTAGTGAACTACGTGAATGTTTGATTCATTGGGCAAGAGGATACGTAGACAGTCATTTATAATGCAGCCGATTTAGGAGTAGATACCGACGTTTGGAGTTTGTTCGCATTCTCATTTGGGTTCTCGACTTGTTGTGGATTGAGTCCGTTGTCGTGAATTATTTCACTTCGTACTGGACGCAATAAGTGAGACATTTGGTTTGGTTGGTGTCGACTCGGTTTTGGGAGAAACTTCACCAAGGTGGAGAATTATGAACGTGGGGCCATGTGAGGAGATAAGGCAGTGGGGAAAGCTTTGATTTCCTAGACGCGTAGGGGCCACACCCACGTGAGGAAATCAGAGCAACTGGGGAAAACCGCGTGAGGAGATGATTTCTCCGCGTGAGTTTTTGCAGGCCTACCCGATATCAATTTGCAGCTATATATAGCTGGTAAACGACAGACCTAGGGTTCTGTGCAAGTGCAGAAGGGGGAGAACGAAAATCTTGGGCGGCGTGCAAAGCTTCGTGCAGAGGGCTGTGTGCAGGCCCCGCAGAGAGAAAAAACCTTTGACGGCTGACCTTTTTGAGTAGAAAAGTAGGGAGCCAATTTGAGGGTTTAATTTGTGAGAGCTATGTGATTGTAAACCTTATTTGTATTTTTTTTCTCTCTAATAGTAGATCACCCTCTCCTTGCCCCGTGGACGTAGGTAATTTACCGAACCACATTAAAATTGATTGTTCGTGCTGTGATTTGTAATAAAGAGTTTAGATTCCCTCGACAAGTCAGTCCTAGAACTGATGAGAGTAAGAGCTAAAATCTCACTTTGTTGTGATATTTTACTTTCGATTTTTGTTTCCATTTTGACACAGGGATTTAGTTGAGATCTACTCTCTTGTCGAGCACCAAAGGTGCTGCCGAAATTTCCGTTGCGTAGAACAAATATCCACTATAAAATCTATATAATCCTCTAAAGAAGAGGGCAAGGTTGCTGATAGCGGATCGCGTCGCGTCGCGGCGAGGTACCGCTAAGGCTATTGCGGGCTATTGCGGCGAAATAGCGGCAAATAGCGCACAATCAAATAGCGGTCAAATATAAATATATTTAAATATGCTAAATATTTAAATAAGAAGAAAATCATATAAAAAAGCAGCACTTCATTTTTAGTGACTAAAATAGTAGCATAAACAACAATATTTAAATAATAAGAAAGATCAGACTTTGTAAAATATTCAAGTATAGATAAATGACTTAAATTCAGCACCTCATTTTTCCATCAGAATTAGGCTAAAATAGTAGCAGCAACCTCATCGGCCCAAGATGAGGCCTACATCCCAGAACCAACCACATGAAAGCGGAGATTGTCGTCGTCACCCCGCCACCGCAGCTTTCCTATGTGATTCAACCTCAGAAAGAGTATGAAACAGTGAAAAAAGCTCTTTTAAGGATCTGAAAGTCGATCAATTCAACAAATAAGAGAACAAGGGGAGGAAAATCCGACGTTTAGGGTTTATAACAACAGGAAGGAGACGAAAAAACTCACGAGAAATCATTTGTCACTGTTGATGTTGTTGGCTTGACCGGAGAGACAGGTCACAGAGAACGAGAGAGGAGGAAGTGAGAGAGAGAGAGAATCGTCGCTGTTGGTGCGGGAGTCGGCGATGGAAGTCGTCGCCGGTGGTGACGTTGACGGCGCTGGAAGTCGTCGCCGGCGGTGGCGGTGGCGGTGGCTGGAAGTCGTCGCTGGAGGACAGATCGAGAGAGGGCACGGAGTTGGAAGAGAGGCGGCTAGGGCAAATATGGGTTCGGGAATAAGAGGCGATAGGCTTTTAAGTGTAATGGGTTACGGGTTCGGGTCGGGTTCTGGGTAATACTCACCGTTAATCACCGCTTTTCACCGCTTTTCACCGTTAATCACCGCTTTTCCGCGCTATCTTCCGCTATTCGAGCAAATAGCGGTTTCTTCCGCTTAATCACGCCGCAAACCCCCTAAGCCTCGCGCCGAACCCCCGCGACCGCGAATAGCGGCGCTATAGCGCCGCTATTCCCCGCTATTTACAACACTGGAAGAGGGGTAACTTGGTAATAGAGGTTGTTGATTAGAAGTTAACCAAACCATGATTTAAAATTCTATTTGAAAACCTCGTAACCTAACAGAGGGACCAATTTGCAAGAACCCATAGGATTGGAGAGAATAGTGAGAAATTTCAAAGATTTGAGGGACTTATATGGAATTATTGAAGATTTGAGGGAACAATACCTTTGAAAAAAAAATTAAAATTAAGATAAAAAATTGGATAAATTGTTAGAGGGACTTGGAAGTAAAATGTCATGCCAAGAAAATGGACCGAAATAACTAAAGATGACCATCTACTTTTTCATTCCCTTCTTCAATTGTTAGAAGGAAGACAAAATAGTATCATTCTGCTGCCAATTTAGCATATTTGACCAAGCCTGAGACATCTTCCTTTGATTTGACTTCTTCCAGGCATAATAAGGCAGACAGTATTTCACCAAAATCAAATTGACCAAAATAATTACATTTATTAAGAGCAAGGCAAGATGCTTAAAGAAAAACAATAAGCGAAAATCACACTCTTGCTTCCTCACTGACAAATGGAAAGCTATTTTCTTTGAAAACAAACTAACTGCCAATTTACTAACATCCGATAACAAATTAATCGGCAGAATCAAATCATCAACCTAAACTCTAGGAGTTATAAATCTGTGACATAATTTTGGCGAAACGAATTTAAAATACACAATAACATTGCTATAAATGGCATGTTATCTCTCTCCCATCTCAGTGTCATTCTCTAATACATAAGTTCTCTACTATATGTACGAAGAGTTTATAATGTTACCTAGTTTCTCCCCCAAATTACACAAATTGGGCAAATAACTACAAAAGTTTAACACATTAATAAAATAAAAATCCAATCTTTATGCAGACCCACTTCATTAGACCATCTAATTACCGATAATCAAACAAGAAATAATAATAAATAAATGAAAACTCACCAGGCTTAAAGAAGATGGACAACCCAAAATCAATAGCCTTTAACGGCGAATTCTCCTTCTTATTCGCAAACAGAAAATTCTCCGGCTTCAAATCCCTGTGAATCACACCATGCTTATGGCACAGCTGCACAACCTCAACAATCGTCCTCGTCACCGCTGCAGCAGCTCTCTCTGTATAATGCCCCCTCGCCACAATCCGATCGAAGAGCTCTCCACCCTCACAAAGCTCCATCACCAAATGAACAGCACTCTCATCCTCACAAGCCTCCCTCAAGGTCACAATACTAGGGTTTTTCGGCAAGTGCTTCATAATCGCCACCTCTCTTCTCACATCCTCAATGTCCACCTGAGTCCTGAGCTTCCGCTTCGAGATCGACTTACAAGCAAGAAGCTCTCGAGTATCGCGATCCATACAGAGGTAAGTGACCCCAAACTCGCCACGGCCGAGCTCGCGATCGACGAGGTACTTGTCCTCGACGCCATTAGAGGTCGGATCGAGGTTGGTGAGGACAGTGAGGCGTTTGGACACGCTTCCGTTATGGTGCTTGCCGGCCTCGCGGGCGACGGCGGCGGGAGAGCGGCAGCAGTTTCCCATTTTGGGGGAAATGGAACCCTGACCCTAGCTCTAACCCTAGCTAGGGTTTTGGGGGCATTTGATTTGGGGATGGAGAAAAGAGTAAAGGGGAAAGATGGGAGGAAAAAAGGGGACAGCTTTTTTTTTTTCTCCCCCTTTGGTTCGGTGAAGTGAAAGAGTGAAGGGAAAAAGAGTCAGGCTGAGGATTTTGTCGGGTTAACGGGAAAGGATCCGATAACGGTCATGAGGAAAAGACCGTTGCGGGGGATTTTTATTTTTTTGGTAAACTGTTGTCTGATTGGACTGTCTCTTATCGGGTTTGGATGTTTTTTAGAGAATTTACCCGATAAGATTCTCGATTGTTGCTTGCTAGTTAAGCTGTACGAGATTATTGGCTCATTAGAAATTAGAAATTGTTTATTTTTTTCAGCTTCTTACTAAATCAAAGTGTGCGGTTTGAATGAGCATCTTACGAATCTATTAGATATTTAAGTAATTAATCCATAATTCTCATGACTTGGTAAACTGAATACCAATTGATTGCTAAAGTCAGAATTCAATTTTTTTTCTGTTTTATCTATTGATTTTTCGGATTTCGATAGCAAGTTCAATATGTAATCAGTGGTTTAAAGTAACGCAAATGTTGAGGGAGAAGAGAAACAGAGGCTTGGTTGGCGTTTGATCATTGGGCTATTTAGACATTAGCACCTCATATCTCAATAATTTTACACTAGTCCCTCAAAATTTTAAAATTGCTCATACATCCCTCAAATCCAAAAGGGGTGTTTGCAAATAGTCTCTCAAGTTAACAGACACTAGTTCTCAGGGGAAAATTTCATGCTCTTCAACAATCGAAAATCCCTCCCGATCCACTTACAAGCTTTTCCAACAATCATTCCTATAGGTGGATCCACGTAGAGCAAAGTGGAGTCAAGTGGCCCCCACTTTGCTCCACCTAATAGAATACCCCTAGCCCTATATCTATTAACATAACTATCTACATAAAATCTCATAAAATACTAGTGACCCACAAAAATTATTAGGTGACCCCACTAAACTAATTGTTGATAACTTAAATTAACTGAAAATACTAGACTCCACTCCACTTAAATAAGATCTATCTATTGGTTTATTTTCTTTTTAAAGACATATTGATTCTACATATGTTACTATGGCAACTATGAAAAGAGATTTTTCTGTGGTGATCTAATTAAGTGCACGTTGCTGAAAATGAGTGATGATTGATTTCTGATAGTGTTATTAGTGATGCTATTATGTAACTTTTTCAAAATATAAGAATCATCGAAGATAATTGTAATTTTTTTAAATTATTAATTTTATAATGACGTCATTTTCTAGAATTCCTGGGTCCGCCACTAATCATTCCCGAGCTTTTCCAAAATTTTGATAGGAGTATTTTGGTGATTGAGGGCGTTTGGTTAAGAGTTAATTCAACCATGGTTTTTGTATCTAATTGAGAAACTACCAGAGGGACCATTTTGTAGGGCGCTGAGGAAAATTAGAAAGGCAGCTATAGAACTACTAAAGATTTGAGGGACCAGTACTAAATATTACCAAAAGCGGGTTTGGATAGCACAACCGGGACAAAAGCGACCCGCCAACATCATACTCTATAGATTCCCTGACAGATAATCTAGGCAACTAGGTACTCTCTCCCTACCTCTATAGATCTCATTACTACACTTGGCAATTGAAAGCTCTTTTGCATCGAAAAGTAAATGAGAGCCTTGGCTCTTTTCTCACAAGAAAAAAAATACTAAAATCCTAAACAAGCAAAAAAAGAACATTTTTGTTCTCCTATATATTTCGACGTAACAATTGACAAATACGGTTTGGATCGAAACTATTGAAATTTTGTGCATCTCTGGAGTCTTGAAGTTTGGGCACATGGGCGATGCCGCGATGAAGCCGCAATAGTCTCGCCATTCACACACCAAAACTTGAAGCGGGTGTTGAACCTAAAGCTGATGTGAAAAGTTTTTTTTTTTTTTTTCAAGTATTTGTAATGATGTTATAGGATTAAGGTTTTGTTGACCAACTCTTTACTTTGGTCTTTGTGGATTAGGCCAATTTTGGTTGGGGACTTTGAGAGCTAGGGTCAATATCTTGGATCTTTTATTAAACAAAATGAAAACTGTTGGTAAGCTGCGTAAGCATAGTAAACAAACACTTGTACATGTAATTACAACTTATTTTAAGTGACAAAATCTTTCGGATATCACAAATTAGGTAACAAGTATTTGTCTCGAATAAGTCTTTCAATATAACAAATTAGGTGATAAATCTTTTTTTCCCGTTTAATTTAATCTATACTTACTAAACTACTCATAAGCTAATGTAACCAAACTATTCCTACTTTACTATAACTAAAGAGTAGTGATAACTAGACTACACTTACCAAACTACTCTTACGTTACTATAACCAAAGATTATGGGTAACGACTCAGTCAATTATAATAGCAATCCCAATGTAAAGACCCCACTCATTTGTGTCTAATAGTGTAGAAGTAGTTTAGAGGTAGTTTAATTATTATTATCTTGATCTCTTAGGCACTGTTAGGCAATAAGAGATTGTGTCTTATCTAAGAGATTGTGTCTTATTGACTTGGTCAATAAGCTAGTAGAGCTGTTTGGTGACCAAAAATAGGAGGAGATTATTTTAAAGATTGTGTCGTTTGCAAGTAGCTTTTGGAAAGCTATCTCAAGTAGCGTTTGTCTTTGGGAAGGAGCTGCTAATTTTTTTCTTCCGTTTTTGCCCCTAATAATTCTAATTTTATATCAATAATATTGCATGTCCTTTTTAGTCGTTTAACAAATTTAAGCTAGTTGTACAGCTACTTTTGCCAAACAGCTCTAGTCAATCAACTAAATTTGTTGACAATGCTAAGATAGCTCAGACCATGAATTCTAGCAGGTATTTGATGATTTATTTAACATTCTCTCGGTTTGACAAAGTTTTTCATGAAAATATGGGGCAAGGTTCTATTTATTGGGCCTAAACCAAATAGGATAAGGTTCAATTTAGGTCGATCTCAATATATTCATTATTTGAATGCCGCATGTTTGGAGCTAATTTCATGAAGTGGTCGGTTCCTTTTTCTCATCTCTGTCCACTTCTTCGAACCTTCCCGTTTCTTGCAAGCCTACGCGTCTATTCTGGAGATAATTTCACTATTTGAGAAAGTTTTTTAGTTTTAATCGTGCATAGACCCCCACTATGCGGCATAGGTATTTTGAACTAATTGTTTATGTTCTTTCATTATTGCGCATGCAAATTAGTTTTCTTACTCTTTTACCTATATATAAGGTCAAAGAAATCAGGGTTAAATTTTAACATGATAATTATTATCTTAGAAAAATTAGTGGGCTATGTTTGATATAACTTTTTAACAAGAATAAAATTTAACCTCAAGCGGATCTCTTCCATTCTCAACTTAAAATATTCAAAAAAAATTTACACTAACACCCTCAAAATTCATAATATACAACACTAAAATTTCAAACCTTACAAGCAGTCCCCTTGATTTCTTAGGATTTGTAGAAAACAGCATGAAACTTTCAAACATTGAAAAAAAAATCTAAAAATTCAAAATTTATGAAAAAGCCGTAATATTTCAAACTGATTACAATACAAGTCTAAGAACTACAAATGGCTCCCTAATTTTTTTGAAATTTACAAAAAAAAAAACTTTAAAAGTTACAAAAGACACCCTCAAATATTCAAAATTACAGAAAAACTTGAAAATGTTAAATCTACATATGGTAAATTGAAAATTTAGGATTACAAATGGACCCTTAAAAATTTTAGAATTGCAAAAAATAGCCTAAAACTTTCAAAAGTTGCAAAAAACACCTTCTAAACCTAAAATTTACAAAAAAAATATGGTGAGAATTTCAAACCTACAATGGTATAGTAAAAATCTAGGAATTACAAGCACCCACCTAAATAATTTTAACTTTGAGCAAAACACCCTAAAAGTTTCAGAAAATTCTAAAACCACCCTCAAAAATTGAAATTATAAAACGACCTCTCTGTAATTTTTTATCTTCTCATGTTATTTCTTATAATTTTTAAAAAAATTAGGGTATTTTTTGCAACTTTTTTTTGCGATTTTCAAAAAATTCAACATTCATAGATTTTTAGTGTTCTGTGTCAGGTTTGAAATTTTCAAGCTTTCTATAAGTTTTAATTTTTTGAGGGTGTTTTTGTAAAAAAATAAAAGTTTTAGGTTTTTTTTTGCAAAATTAAAACTCTTTAAAGGGATGTTTCTTATTCTTAGATTGTTCAATTTATTGTTTTATGTTTGAAATTTTCAATTATTTTGTAAATTTAGAAATTTTATGGTATTTTTTAAAAAGTTTTAAAATTTGGGGTTTTTTTGCAAATTTCAAAACTTTTTGTTGCTGTTTTTATTTCCCTAATTTCCATTGTTATGTTATAGATTTGAAATACTTAGTTTTTGACTTTTTCAATTTGATTTTGGGGGTGTTTTTTATAATTTTAAAATTTTTGGCTTGTTTTATATAAATTAAATTTTTTTGGGTGCTTCTTGTAAGGTTTGAAATTATCAGTAATTTTGTAAGGTTTTGAACTTTTAGTGCATTTTTACGATTTTTGAAAATTTTGAGGGTTTTTTGTATTTTTGGAATTGTTGGAGTTGTTTGTAATTTTCCATTTTACAAGCGATATTTGTAATTTTTTTATTTTAGGGGATTTTTGGTATGTTTTGAAAATTTTTTGGGCGTTATTTATAATTACAAATTGTTAAATGAACTAAGCCTCACTTGGTTAAAGTTTATCCTTATATGTGGTTAAAGTTTTAACCCTTATATATGGTTAAAGTTTTAACCTTGGTTAATATTTAAAATGATAACAAACATGGTTAAAGTTAGGAAAAAGTTCACCAATGTAAAGTTTAAGCCCCTTTACCCTTGTACCAAACAAGCCCTTAACGAAATTTTAATAGATACTGATCGAGTGAGATTAGTGATTCTGCATGAGGGTAAATAAAGAAGATTTGACTCGGGAGGTCTATCCGCAACAATCAAGCCACATGGTAACATGAGTGGGAAGTTCAAAGCAATGATGAAATTTTATACGTAGGATAACACAAGAAAAAGTAGCAAAAATAATAAAATAGATAATCTT